TTACCTCACAGTCATATGAGGGATATTTGAGGAAGCTATACAGCTTACATAGACCGGTTAACCATGTAGAATTTGTACATTGTACATGAAAGAGCTGATCCTGGTTTTTCATTTGCATATATGAATTATGCAAGGAAACAAAAATGTCATTAATTATTTCTTAATATTGCTTGAATAGTGGATTCCTTGATATTTTTTTTGATCTTCTGTATGTTCATTCAGCTAATATAAATTGTGCACACAAATAACAATGCTTGATCTGCTTTAAAGATCAGCTTATTAATTTGGTATAAATCCACATATTAAATATTCTCAAGAATAGTACAAGATTATATGTTACTTTAGATTTTGTGAAACCTGACCTAACTAGTTAGCAATTATAAGCTTAACAAGCCTAAAAGGATAGAATTTGTTAGCCTTAATTTGAATTTGATTCCCTAAAAGAAAGGTGCATATAGCCCTCACAGTATAGTGAACACTGTAAATATTAACACATGTGAAGTTTGATAGTGCATTAATTATAACAGATAATAATTATTATTTTTAAATATTAGGACATAACAAAGGATCATTCCTTATTAAACAAATGACATATGATTTTGATACATGGTAAGAACTTTTCGGAAAAAGTGGCCGAATAGCTGAGGTACAATATTTCTAAGGGTCCTGGGTTTGAGTCCCATCATTTTGCAGTACCTGTGACATAATTATGGTTCCCTTTCAGGCAACATGATATCATGGTTTATAGCTCAGAGTCAATTTAAATCCTGTTCTGTTGGACGAATTTCAATACTGTATAGTTTGGCTGAATGTCACATTCACTCAGTAGTACAGACAGCTGTGAGATAAATGTGTAAGGGGTTAGATAGCTGAGTCGGTATAGCTGTGGTAGTTGTTAACCTGTGCAAATAATCATGAAGCCAAATTGTTATAGATTTCTTTAGCCAAATTAATAAAGTTTAAGCAAATGGTACGATGTAGGCAAAGAGTAAGGTCTGTGTCTATATGAGGCTTAAGTAAAGCATAATAAAGTTCTGTTAGATCTCAATTAATTCCAAACAAGAATCTACAAGTAAGCAGATGTCTGGATATGAAGGTCTTATTGGAGCAATTGAACACAATAAATAAAAAAAGCTCATTATTATTTTATTATTATGTTACATGTATATGATTTTTGCACAATTATTACATTTTGTGATTTTCCTCAGATAATTTAGGTTGTTTCATGCTACATGTATATGGGTACTTTTTGTCTGCTAAGCATATTTGCAGAGTTATACCCCCTTTCTAGCTCACATGAGCACAAAATGCTCAGAGGTGTCAGATCTTTTGGTTAGCAGTTTGTCTATCTTTTTTCATCTGTCGTTTGTTGTTGTCCTCAATTTATTTAAAAAAAACGCCACTATAGACCACATGATGGATTTTGACCAATTTTTACAGGAATGATTCTTAGATGGTCCTCAAATAAAGTAAAAATTTTCAAAAAAATCTTCTTCTCTAAAATTTCAAGGTATTTTGTATTTTGCATGAAGCATCTCCTTGTGGGTCTCTACAAACGTTCTGTAAGTCTGATATGCCATGATACCCCCTGGACCACCCTGGGCTCACTAAATTTTCTATAGACTAAAATACTTCAGTAAAAGCTTTGTGTAAAATTACAATGCCAAAATCTAAGATATTTGTTATGAAGACTTTTGTATCAGACAGTGAGTCACATCAAACAAATATTTGGAATTTATGCAGTCTGGAGAAAGAAACCTTAATATATGACTTCATTATTGTTGTAATAATTACACATAGTTACTCCCCTTTGATAAATGATCCTCATTGACCATGCTAATTGTTTAGTCATATAACAATTAGATTAAATAAAACATCAGGTAAAGGGGTTTAATACTTATAGATTTAGTTCCATTTAATTTGACTTTTAATAATTAAAATGATTGTTGTCATTTGTTAATGTGTACACAAATATTATAATTTTTCTTATTGACACTCATTGTCACTGACAATGTCAGGGGCGTAGCTGGGTCATTTTAAATATACGCACAAATGTTTACACAGGAGGTCAATAGGGCCCCCTTGCAGGTCCAGGGCAGGGCCCTGGATGGGGTAAAGGGGTGCAGCTCCCAAAGCTCTATGGATTTAGATATTTAAGGATGATTCGATTATACAATTTCACGTCCATTTAATACCACATAAATGTGGTTTATATCCTAAAAAAAAGGCAATTTTATTAAAGGCATATTACACACAGGGATCTACTAAATGCTGCCTGTTCTAGCACTGTGTCAATTGCTCGCATTTGAATAAGTGATAATGTTTTATTTTTTTATCATTGGCCCTGTGAATACCTTTTGTGTTGTGCCAAAGGGGGTCATTGATTTTCCCAATATGCATATAGTAAAAACTTAAAAAATCTTCTTTTAAAGAACCCAAAGAGCTAGAGCTAAGATATTTAGCATGAAACATGTTCTAATGAGTGTCTACCAAGTTTGTTCAAAGAAAAGCCCTGGGGTCAAAATTGGCCCGTCCCGGGGGTCATTGATTTTCCTTATATGTATGTAGCAAAAACTGAAAAAATCTTCTTTGAAAAAACCGAAATAGCTAGAGTTTAGATATTAAGCATGAAACACCTTCTAGTAAGTGTCTGCAAAATTGGTTCAAATATAAAACCCCTGGGGTCAAAACTTGCCCCGCCACAGGTATGTCATTGTTTTTAACTATATGTGTATAGTAAAAATCTTCTTTTAAAAAACCCAATGACCTTTAGCTTAGATGTTTAGCATGAAATATCTTCTTATGGGTGTCTACCAAGTTTGTTCAAATAAAAGCCCTTGGGTTAAATTGGCCCTGCAGGGGGGGAGAGATCATTGTTTTTCATTATATGTGTTGTAGTAAAAAATTAACATGAAACAGCTTCTAATGTGTGTCTTCCAAGTTTGTGAAAACAAAAGCCCTGGGGTTTAAACTGGCCCCGCTCCGGGGGCCTATATACAGGTGAGCGACCTCAGTGTTTATTTATAAAATTTGTGCACATTACTCCTTTTAAAACAGTATGAAACTTTGCAAGATAACAAGATTGAACTTAAGGCAAGTACTTTCACATATTGTACCGGGTTAATGTTTTTTAGCTCCACTATACGAAGTCTTGGTGCAATAAAAAATTATTCACTATAACTTTTTCGGGAAAACGGATATCTCTAGCACCATAATTGCAAGAATTATCTCCCCATAAACTGACAGAAGCCCTCCCGGTCAAAAGCCCTCCCGTCAAAAAATGACAAGGCGGACAAAACCTCCCGTAAAAATGACAGGGCGGACAAAAGCATTCACGTAAAAATAACAGGGCCGACAAAAGTCTTCCCATGAAAATGACTGGGCGGACAAAAGCCCTCCTTTGAAATTAGCAAGGCGGACAAAAGCCCTCCCGTAACAAAAATGAATATGTATGTTGAATACCTGTGTTTTTTTTCAATGCACTCAACATATTAAAATTGTTACATATATTTCTTATTGTTTTCAATTGGCCTAAGTATGTGTATGAGCTAGAACCACCTTTTATTCTGAAAATACCTTCCTGAAATGTTTAACGAGGTAACTTTTTACATGTCGTTAAAAACAAAGTCACTTTTAAAAGTCATTGACTAATTACAAGGCACATTATAAATGTCTTTAACTTTAAGTTACATGATTTTAACTTCTTTTCATCATTTATTACTCTATTAATCTTAACTTCACATAAGAGTAATCCTTCATATCTACGTGAATGAATATGCACTTACATATTTTAGCACTAATTTATCAGGAATGTGCTCAAGCCCGTACAAACACGGTCATTCCAATGGAAAACAAAAATATTCATGATTACAATTCTAATATGTTGAGTGTATTGAAAAGAAAATAAAAACTATTCAACGTACATATATATGTATTCGCTGCGAGAGGGCTTTTGTCCGCTCTATTATTTTCACGGGAGGGCTTTTGTCCGCCCTGTCATTTTTACGGGAGGGCTTTTGTCCGCCCTGACATTTTTATGGGAGGGCTTTTGTCCGCCTTGTCATTTTCACGGGAGGGCTTTAATGTCCGCCTTGTCCCTTTTTAATGGGAGGGCTTTTGTCCGGGAGGGCTTTTGTCCTACACTCGTTATTTTTTTATATAACTTTTTTAGTTTTAAAGGTATCTACCTCAAACTTCAAATACTTATTCCTTATCATCTATTACATCTTATGTGACAAGGTATATAACTCTTGAAGCAATATTTACCGATTTAACTGTCTTTGAACTTAGGATTTTATTTAAGAAATATTATAACTTCTTTTATTTTAAGGTATCTACTTCAAACTTCAAATATATATTTTTAATCATTACACACAATCATGTTATGTGACAAGGTTTATAACTCTAGTGTGACTATTTCCTGAATTATTCCCCTTGAACTTGGAATTTATGTTAACAAATGTTATTTTTTTACTATAACTTCATACATAATCGATTTTTCTTTCATAGTTTTTGTCTTCCTTACTGCGTCCAGTAAGAAAATATAAAAATTTAGTTGTTCACAATTATTTCTGAATATAAAAGAAATGCATTTTTATTTTACTTTAAATAGGGGATATTCCAGGTTTTTCTATAAACATGATAAATACAGTATTAGTTTTCATCAAGTGGTATCAAAAGAAAATTCCTGAGTGGAGGTAGCCACGTGTGAAATATGATAATTTTCATACCACAAGATGAAAATAAATTCTTTACTTATAGAAATTTTTTCTCTTTATTATATGCTTTTTCTCTTTTTTGATTTGTGTACTGGCATAATTTAGAAAAAAGTAAAATCCAGCAAAAATACCAGTTAAAATACGGAAAATATGTTTCACTGCAGTGAAAAATATTCTCTTTTAGAGTGAAAATACGGAAAATGGATATGCTTTTTATTTCATCAATATTTTTTCAATATTTCATTTATAAGTATATCATAAAAAAATATTTATTAATTTCAGTGAGAACAATCCAGTGTTACAAAAAGGTGTCATTTTCGGATAGCTGAGATTACAATTAACAAATATTTCACTTCTGGATAAATGTAGTGACATCAATTCAGGTAATATACATGTTATTTATGAACCTCTCTCTAGGGCATAATTGGGGGGAAGCAATACATACCAAACACAGGATGTGTCATTATGACAGGAAATAAATGTCTAATACTAGTGACTTTGAAAATATGTTATATCCTGTGTATATTATATAATATCATGTGTAACTATATTCTATAAAAATTGTTTGATCATGAAATTTGCCAAATTAATGAATGGTAGGTCATTCAAATTATGGTAATCCTTAGGATATTTCTTTAAAAAAAAAAACTCTGGTAGCATTATAAAAAAATCTAACCTGTTTTTTGACCCATGAGAAATGTAAGACTTTTAAATTTTTGTACATTTTCTGAAATGTTGAGAATTTTTTCTTGCCAAATACATTAAATTTGATGAAAACAACCAAAATCACAACTGAATAGGATATGTGTCTGCTATTGAGAAATATTTTTGAGATTTTATATGTATTCTTTGATATTACCCTTGAAACTAGTTAAATCTAGCCGTGAGAAATGTAAGACTATCAAAAAATGCCCATCTTAGAAAGTTTTAAATAAAAAAAAAAAAAAAAGGACGATCATAATTTTACCGACTTTTCATTTATGCCCATAGATGTTGTTTACAATACTTTAGATCGTTTGTGCAAAGAAACATTTTGGATTCATAAGCTAAAAACTCATTTTCCAGAAGGAATGAGCACAAAGTTGTTATACTCAATTAAATAATTCATAAAATATCAATCCACGCTATAAATGCTAGAATTACGCCACATAGATATTCGTTTTTTCCTATTATCATTTTTTATAATTAAACCCTATAGGAAATATTCGTATTTATTAATCCGATATCTATTGTGTCGTTTTTATATTTTTATATTTTGATGCTTTGTTTGGTGCACTTATCTCTTTTATCATGAATTGGAATTGTTCGTATTTGTTCGTTTTTCCGCTAAAGTGGGCGTGACGTTAATTGTAAAATTACGACGTCACGTCCGTTGATATTATTATTATTTATTTACCTTGAAAAAGGCATACATTTGCCGAAACGTTGAAAAATAAAAAATGATATTATACGTGTTATTGCTGTGACTTTATTATTTTAAAGTTTTAAATAGGCAGTTTGCCTCTTATTATTTTTTTCTCTTAAATATGGGTTGTTATCGTAATTGCCAATTCCTGACTGATGAATATTTACTTTAATGCAGATTTTTTTTTTCAAATAACAGACAAATTATTGAAGAAATACCATTTTTTTGACCCGTGAGAAATGTAAGACTTTTATATTTTTGTACATTTTCTGAAATGTTGAGAATTTTTTCTTGCTAAATACATTAAATTTGATGAAAACAACCAAAATCACAACTGAATAGGATATGTGTCTGCTATTGAGAAATATTTTTGAGATTTTATATGTACTCTTTGATATTACCCTTGAAACTAGTTAAATCTAGCCGTGAGAAATGAAAGACTATCAAAAAATGCCCATCTTAGAAAGTTCTAAATAGCCAGTTTGCCTCTTATTATATTTTTTCTCTTAAATATGGGTTGTTATCTTAATTGCCAATTTCTGACTGATGAATATTTACCTTATTGCAGATTTTTTTTTTCAAATAAAAGGCAAATTATTGAAGAAATACCAGTTTTTTGACCCGTGAGAAATGTAAGACTTTTATATTTTTGTACATTTTCTGAAATGTTGAGAATTTTTTCTTGCTAAATACATTAAATTTGATGAAAACAACCCAAATCACAACTGAATAGGATTAGTGTCTGCTATTAAGAAATATTTTTGAGATTTTATATGTATTCTTTGATATTACCCTTGAAATTAATGAAATGTAGCCGTGAGAAATGTAAGACTATCAAAAAATGCTCATCTTAGAAAGTTTTGAATGGGTAGTTTGCCTCTATGTACTTACTTCTGTTAAATATGGATTGTTATCTTAATTGCCAATTCCTGACTGATGAATATTTACCTTAATGCAGATTTTTTTTTTCAAAAACAGACAAATTATTGAAGAAATACCAGTTTTTTTGCCCGTGAGAAATGTAAGACTTTTCTGATTTTTGTACATTTTCTGAAATGTTGATGATTTTTGTTTACTAAATACATTAAATTCGATGAAAACAACCAAAATCACAACTGAATAGGATATGTGTCTGCTATTGAGAAATATTTTTGAGATATTACATGTATTCTTTGATATTCCCCTTGAAACTAGTGAAATCTAGCCATGAGAAATGTAAGACTATCAAAAAATGCCCATCTTAGAAAGTTTTAAATAGGCAGTTTGCCTCTTATTATTTTTTTCTCTTAAATATGGGTTGTTATCGTAATTGCCAATTCCTGACTGATGAATATTTACCTTAATGCAGATTTTTTTTTTTCAAATAACAGACAAATTATTGAAGAAATACCATTTTTTTGACCCGTGAGAAATGTAAGACTTTTATATTTTTGTACATTTTCTGAAATGTTGAGAATTTTTTCTTGCTAAATACATTAAATTTGATGAAAACAACCAAAATCACAACTGAATAGGATATGTGTCTGCTATTAAGAAATATTTTTGAGATTTTATATGTATTCTTTGATATTCCCCTTGAAATTAATGAAATCTAGCCGTGAGAAATGTAAGACTATCCTAAAATGCCCATCTTAGAAAGTTTTGAATGGGTAGTTTGCCTCTATATACTTACTTCTGTTAAATATGGATTGTTATCTTAATTGCCAATTCCTGACTGATGAATATTTACCTAAATGCAGGTTTTTTTTTTCAAAAAACAGGCAAATTATTGAAGAAATACCAATTTTTTTGCCCGTGAGAAATGTAAGACTTTTCTGTTTTTGTACATTTGCTGAAATGTTGATGATATTTTTTTACTGAATACATTAAATTTGATGAAAACAACCAAAATCACAACTGAATAGGATATGTGTCTGCTATTGAGAAATATTTTTGAGATTTTATATGTATTCTTTGATATTCCCCTTGAAACTAGTGAAATCTAGCCGTGAGAAATGTAAGACTATCAAAAAATGCCCATCTTAGAAAGTTTTAAATAGCCAGTTTGCCTCTTATTATTTTTTTCTCTTAAATATGGGTAGTTATCTTAATTGCCAATTCCTGACTGATGAATATTTACCTTAATGCAGATTTTTTTTTCAAATAACAGACAAATTATTGAAGAAATACCATTTTTTTGACCCGTGAGAAATGTAAGACTTTTATATTTTTGTACATTTTCTGAAATGTTGAGAATTTTTTCTTGCTAAATACATTAAATTTGATGAAAACAACCAAAAGCACAACTGAATAGGATATGCGTCTGCTATTAAGAAATATTTTTGAGATTTTATATGTATTCTTTGATATTCCCCTTGAAATTAATGAAATCTAGCCGTGAGAAATGTAAGACTATCAAAAAATGCCCATCTTTGAAAGTTTTGAATGGGTAGTTTGCCTCTATATACTTACTTCTGTTAAATATGGATTGTTATCTTAATTGCCAATTCCTGACTGATGAATATTTACCTTAATGCAGGTTTTTTTTTTCAAATAAAAGGCAAATTATTGATGAAATACCAATTTTTTTGCCCGTGAGAAATGTAAGACTTTTCTGTTTTTGTACATTTTCTGAAATGTTGATGATTTTTTTTTACTGAATACATTAAATTTGATGAAAACAACCAAAATCACAACTGAATAGGATATGTGTCTGCTATTGAGAAATATTTTTGAGATTTAATATGTATTCTTTGATATTCCCCTTGAAACTAGTGAAATCTAGCCATGAGAAATGTAAGACTATCAAAAAATGCCCATCTTAGAAAGTTTTGAATGGATAGTTTGCCTCTATATACTTACTTCTGTTAAATATGGATTGTTATCTTAATTGCCAATTCCTGACTGATGAATATTTACCTTAATGCAGGTTTTTTTTTCTTCAAAAAACAGACAAATTATTGAAGAAATACCAGTTTTTTTGCCTTTGAGAAATGTAAGACTTTTCTGTTTCTGTACATTTTCTGAAATGTTGATGATTTTTTTTCACTGAATACATTAAATTTGATGAAAACAACCCAAATCATAACTGAATAGGATATGTGTCTGCTATTGAGAAATATTTTTGAGATTTTATATGTATTCTTTGATATTCTCCTTGAAACTAGTGAAATCTAGCCGTGAGAAAGTTTTAAATAGGCAGTTAATGCCTCTTATTATTTTTTTTCTCTTAAATATGGGTTGTTATCTTAATTGCCAATTCCTGACTGATGAATATTTACCTTAATGCAGATTTTTTTTTACAAATAACAGACAAATTATTGAAGAAATACCAGTTTTTTGACCTGTGAGAAATGTAAGACTTTTCTGTTTTTGTACATTTTCTGAAATGTTGAGTATTTTTTGTTGGTGAATACTTTAAATATAATGAAAACAAGCAAAATCACAACTGAATAGGAGGACATGTGTATGCTTGAGAATTTTGTTTGAGATATTACATGTATTCTTTGAATATTGCCTTTGAAACCATCAAAGTGTAGCTGTAAGATTATCATAAAAAATGTCCATCTTTAAAACTTTAAACATTTAATAACTATCATTATTTTTTGTTTTGTTTTAATATGATTGTGCTTGTCATCTAATGCTAATTCCTGATTGATGAATATTTTAACTTAATGCATATTTTTGATAAAGCACATTTGTTAGAAAAGGGGTATTTGAAAAGCAACATATTTGGAGTTATGGGACTTTGATTTAAAATTGCTTATTAAGTTCAATTATTTCAAAACTGAAAGATATCAATGTGAAACTTGGAACACAATATAATACAATCTATATGTATTGTCAATCATTACAGATATGTTTAACTTTTTTTCTTCTTAAAATTATCTTTTCAAAAGTATAAAAGATATCATTCATAATTAATCTTGAAATACTTGTTTGTATGATGACAGGCACTTTGTCAACATTGCTTATTATTTGAAGGATGATTTCAAAACAATTAAAGCTATCAACTTGAATTATTGATTATCTTGCCAAGGCTTAGTTATAAAGCAATGGATGCTATTATCCTAAAAGCAATATATATACCTAAAAAATGTTATGCTTCTTATAAAGTTGTTTTATAAAAAATTGTTATTAAAAGTGATGCCCTATACAGATGACTGTTGTTAAATTTATTGTCTCTCTAATTTTACAGAAACAGCAGATTATAGGCAAAGGAAAGCTATTTCTGGATCTTTCACAAAATACATGATGTACAAATATTCTGCAAGAAACATCAACCTGACAAAAAGGAAGTGGTGTAGATCTGTTGGTATATCTGCATATTGTTGGTGATACAAAATGTGTAATATGAAAACATTGAAGAAATACTTGACAAATGCAAAATATGTGATGCAAGAATTCAGTATAAGTAAAATTACCAGATTTTCATTTCAAATGAAAAAGAATTGTAGCCCACAGGATCAGTCCTCATCTTTAGTCAGTGGTCAGGCTTAAAAAGTATTTTTTTCCAGAAGACACAAGTGCAAGTAAAAAAGGCACATTTCACTTTTTCCACTTAAATTATGTTGGATTAAATTAAGAGTTATCAAAAAGTATGGAAAATAAAGTTAATTTAGCAATGAATGTTTAAGAGTGCCAAAATGACAGCAAAATGTATCTTTTCCTTATTTTGTCAATATTGAATTTTATGATACTTTGGATGAAATGACAATAAAACTGTCAGTGAAAGTAAATTAAGTGAATTTTGATAATAAACGGACCAATTAAAGTGAACTAAATGTGGTAAAGAAGACATTATGGAGTTAACAAGGAGATACCAAAAGTGTAAATGAATGTAACAATAAATTACATCTATATTATTTCATAGACTCTGTGAAAGGATTATAGTCAGATCTGAATAGGAATCATAAGATTAGGACAAATACTGATAAATATAAAGTATATAAAATGTCTAATAAACTTATATTATAAGTTTTATTCTGGTGCAAGCCAGAAATGATATCTAAGTGTATCTTCCTTTTTCACTCCAGTTATGGTTGAAACTTGCCATAAAAAGCCATATGACTTCTCCAGTGTCAGCTTTATTATAAACCCACTATATCCCCCCCCCCCAAAGATAGTAAACAGTAAAATAACTTACTTAACATTAATATATTAATTATTGATAAAATCAATTTTTGTACAACTGTTTTGCTGATTTGTGTTTTGATATATATGAAAGAATCTGGGTATTTATTTAATATTTGGTATTCGACTGGTATGTAAGTACCTGGCAGAAACGAATATAAAAGAACATTTCGAAGAGAAGATGTGCACCTCTTTCCAAGCTGGAAATATGGTATTTCCAGGTTATGTTTCTTTATTACATACTTATAAATAAAATGATGAAAAATATTGATGAAATTAAATGCTTATTTTCACTTTCCTTATTTTCACTGCAAAAAAAATATTTTTCACTGCAGTGAAACATATTTTCACCGGTGTCTTGCCAGACTAATTTCTGCTATATTCAGCCGAGTTTCATATTGTGATGTCAAAAAAGAGAAATGCATATAATAAACAAGTAAATTTAAGTATTTTCTATAAATAGTTTGTAGTATGAAAATTATCATGTTTCACTTGTGGCAACCACCACTCATGAAATATTATACAAATATGGACTTTTTAGCTGTTGAATATGATGTGATATGTACTGAAAAAATTAATATTGACCGAGGCGATAGCCGAGGTCAATATTTATTTTTCAGTACATATCACATCATATTCAACAGCTAAAAAGTACATATCTGTTTTATTATATAATTTATAAATAGCTTTTACATGGCTTATCACATCTGCCATTGCATACGACAGAAATTATTATTTTTCAGCTTGTCAACTGTTTCCATAATTTGGCCCTTTCTATTGGCATGCTGATCCCTATTGTTCTTAAAAATGCAAAACGGTAACTAATATAGACTAATTTGACTCTTATGTACACCCAACTCGATGTTTTTTCAGAATAATAACAACAAACTTGGCATGACGTCACGTCAAAGTCTTGCTTCTTTTAGGGATTTCCAGAAAATCTATTTTTAGAAGAAAAACCGGTGAATATACTCTGAAAATCTATTTTTAGGAAAAAAACAGTGAATATACTCTGATATTGACTTGTTATTTTTTACAAAAAGTTGCTTGTTAGCCAATCAGGGAAAGGCATTTCAAAGCTATTTATAGATTATATAATAATTATGTTTATTCCACGCAATGAAAATAAATATTGTATTTATAGAAAAAACTTGGCTATCCTCTATTTCTTCAGTTATAATTTATGTATAATTACCTGACTGTAATGACTTGAAAAGTGAAAACTTGATTACAAGTCTAAAGATCATGTTTATGATTGAAACATGTTTTTTGGGGTTATACATTATTTGGAAATATAAAATTTTGAGCACCTAACTATGGTTGTGTTTGAACTTGCCAGGAACTTTGATTTATTGGTGTAGCATTGCTGTAAGATTATAGTTTGGTGCTTAAAATAAATTTGGTACCCAATCATTCCTGCAATAGTGTATTCTGCAACCAGTGATGCTTGAAAGAATGTGTAGATCTCCTCTGCTAAAACGAAAGATCTTCTAGCATGTAAGTTTATAGGACAGCACAGTGTAGTTAAAAGGCACAGACACTTGGGATGTGGAGCTCGTGTGTGTGTATTATTTTAGACCTTGAAATATGATTTTTTTTTCAAAACAGCTTATATTATTTTTTTTTACATATATTACCAGTACATGTGCTGGGATTGACAAAGATATATCTTATTTGGATTTTAAAGGCACCCCAAGTGTCTGTGATAAAAGGTATCTATCACAGGGACACAGCCCAGTGTTGGGATAGTGTAAAAAAGTAATTCTAAAAAAATATATATACTGTATATCTAATAAAGTCTATATATTATATATACAGTATATATATATATATATTTTAGAATTACCTTTTTACACTAGAATTACCTTTTTACACTATATCCCAACACTGTGCTGGGTCTGTCACAGTGTGCATGGTATCTATGGGTTTAAAGCACCAGCCTGTTCAAGTATTACCCTATGTAAAATTAATTAATACCCGCTGGTGTTATTTTTTATCACAAAACGTCTGTTGATAATTTCTTAACAGATCATAAGGATTATTTGAACGGATGCAGTTCGTGGCCGAGATGATCGTATCGGTCGAGTTCATTTAGGGCCGAACAAGATGATTTCAATTTACTACTCGGCATTTGTGTAATTCACTCATAGATGGACAGCAACATTCACTATTGTATGTTTTTATTTTAAAAACATAAGGAGTGGTCCATTAATTACTTCATATTTACTTCATAGTAGATCTATGCACAATATAAAAATCCAAATTAATTTGTAGAAAATCATGAACATCCGAGCGGCTATTTTAAAGCCGAAACATTGATTAAAATTGTTATTATTTACTCGTAAAAACAGTCAAACTCCTTCGCTTTAACCATTACTTTATTGATGCAATGGAATATTGACAGTATTTAATTTAATTGCAACAGGAAATGTTCTCCACTAAAATAGTCTTACGTTTCTCACGTCTGACATTTTTCACGACCCTCCCGTGAGATTCGTAAGATCTTACATTTTTCACGGGTCTGACGAATCTCACGCTACACCGGTATTACAGACATTCCATTTTAGATCAATTCACTTTAGATTCTTTGCATTCCTTTTTTTTTTTGGATTCGAATTTGCATATTATAAAATATATTCTCGGTGGATATATGTATTTCAACTTTACTTTTGCATTGTCTGTGATATCTTGTTTTGAAATTAAGTAAATGTTTTCCTGTTTTTACATTCTTAGAGTTGTTATATAATATGTTATAAAATGATTATTTTATTTAAAGATCCTGTATCACATTATTTTTATGGTTTTATATAAAAATTATGATGCTCAAATTAAGATTTATCGATATTGTAAGTTTCAAAAAACATTATTTATAAAGATATTACCGAATTTAATATTTCATGTAAATAAAGGGATGTAATTAGAATTTAGTTTTCTATAAATTCTAAGTCAATTTTTCCAATAAGAAATGAATGCATATAATTTGATGATTACCTTAAATATGTACAAATATTTGCAATACATATTTTACATATTCTTCCATGTTTGAAAATTGACAAATTTGCATAATTACATACATATATATTTCAATGAAGAGTGGTATGCAATCTCAATTACAAAAGATACAGGAACTTTAAAATGATTTGACGGGATTATCATATGCTCGCATACACATTTATTCTCGCATCAACCCATGTTCTTCTTGTAGTAGCCAAATACTTAAAATGACTGAAAATATCACTTTATAATACTGTTTTCACACACAACACGTCATGTATTTAAACGTGGCTAGTAAATTAGAATAATGTATATTGATGACAGAACAAAATAATTTAACGAGTATGTTTGTATAATTATGTGTAAATAATTGATTAAGTGCATGTTAGATATTATACAACTGAAAAAGTAGCGCTGTGTCGTAAAGGATATATTTCGTATCTAACCGACATTTTAAGTAGAGAGAGAAGGGGAGAGAGAGATATGATAAAATACGGACATCAATATCTCCACATTCTGTGACATAATAACCTTCATTCATGGACTTAGATTTTATAATTATTGTTCCATTTCAAGAACTTATTAATCTTTAGATATGGATCTGTAGTAAATACAAATAAATCTGAGATTTAAATGATTGTGTATTATTGTTCATGTTAACACGAGACAAAATGAGAACACACATCATCAAGGTAAAAACGAAGCCCCCGACACAACCTAGTCACACTAGTAGAGCACAAAGAATACACCGAATTAAAAACGGGAGAGGACACAAGGGCGGAGACAGGAGGGGAGAGGCATGTTAAGACCTGATACAAACAACAATTTAATAAATGGAATTAGAATCAAAAGGATTGACACCGGATATTAAAGGAACGCGGTTGGTGTTGTTTAGAAAGGACGGACATGTGTGTTCGCCAAATATAGCAGGATTCCCTCATATTTTGTTATTGTGAAGTAATTATCATGTGTAAAACATAATAACCAATATGTGGTACTGTTAATCTGTTAATTAAACAGTTATTGAGTCAAGAATACCTAGCTTATCAAACACACCCTTCTCTCCCATGTATACATCTTATTAAAAACTACCATTTATAGACTTATGTGTCAACGTGTTCATTCAAGTAAATAACAACGCGTTCTATAATGAAATTACTGTTATTATCATTTTAGATTGATTTTAATACCCACCATGCATCTGTCAGTTTCACGACATGCTACATTTATATTTATAAGTTGTTTCGTGAACAACAAATTAACGATTTAAACTCAGACACAACCAAGCCACACCAGCAGGTAAACTAGAAGACACCAAACCTGAAACGGAAGAGGGTACAAGGATGGAGACAGAAGGGAAGGAGTATGTTAAGACCTGATACAAATAACAATTTGATAAATGAAATGATAAAATCTAAAGGACTGACACGGGAAATTAAAGGGACAATTTAAGGTTGTTAAGAAAGGGGGGTGGCACGTGTGTTGGTCAAAATTTCTTCTTTGTAAAATGCCTATTGCTTTACCTATATACGACATAGTGATTTCGCCAGGAAATTTCTTGCGGCATATTCCAAATTGATAAAGATAGACTGTCGAATAATGAAAATTCGACTGATATATTTGCGTTATTTATGTCAGTTACATAGCTTTATCAGTCAGTCGTCCATGTCTTTGTCCAGATGTAAACAAATGATTGAGTATCGACTAATTTGAGGTGTTATTTTTCCTCTACCGGTTCAACCGGAGGGGACTTCAGGCTTACCGTCCGTCCGTCTGTCCGTCAGTCCGTCCAAGTGTATGTCACTCCGTCCAATGAAACTTGATATATAGATAAGAGGCAGTCTGGAAATTATGCATGTTTTTTGTCCTCCTATGTTGAACACTTTGGTTTCTATGGCAACAAATAAAGGGGAAATATGGCAAATTTAATATATAAACTAATTCCAAAGATATCGCTGTGACAATATGGCAAATTTAACAAGAGATAACGCAAAAAATACTAAAAATATTTTTGTGAAACTAGATATATGGGTAGACGGCTGTCTGAAGGTTGTGCACGTTTTTTTCTTCCCATATTGAACATTTCGGTTGCTATGGCAACAATTAGGCTTAAAATATGGCAAATATAATAATAATTGTGATTTCTCAAAAGGTACTGAAGACATTTTAATGAAACTAAATATATGGATAGATGGCAGTATAGAAGTTATACTTGACTTTAGAGAGTATATTACGAGCTGTCCTATTCACGGAGCGGCAGCGACCTCGTCAAGATTTCTGATTATAGTTTTTACGCTTTCTCACTATAAGTTTGTTCTTTCTTAAGGTATTTACATCAAACTTCAAATATATTTTTCTGATCAACGACCATATTATATGTGACAAATTTTTTTACACTGTCACACAAAATATCAGAATTACCTCTCTTGAACTTAGATTTCTTATGAAAAGTGTTGTTTTTCTTCATAACATTTTTATTCCTTAATATAAGTATTTCAAACTTCATACATATCTTT